TCAGGAGTTCAAGACCAGTGTGGCCAACATGGTGAAACCCCACCTCTACTAAAAATACAAAAATTAGCTGGGCATGGTGGTGGGCGCCTATAGTCCCAGTTACTTGGGAGGCTGAAGCAGGAGAATCACTTGAACCCGGGAGGTGGAGGTTGCAATGAGTCGAGATCATGCCACGTCACTTTTTTTGTTTCTTTTTTTTTGAGACAGGGTCTTGCTCTGTCGCCCAGGCTGAAGTGCAGTGGCGAGATCATGACTCACTGCAATCTTGACCTCCCTAGCTCAAGCAGTCCTCCCACCTTAGCCTACTGAGTAGACAGGACTGCCTGCCACTATACCCAGCTAATTTTTTTGCGTAGACAGGGTCCTATGTTGCCCAGGGTGGTCTCAAACTCCTGGGCTCAAATGATCCCCCTGCCTCAGCCTCCCAAAGTGTTGGGATTATAGGTGTGAGCTGCTGCATCTGGCCTAAACTTTTTTTTGAGTCTCACTTTATTGCCCAGGCTGAAGTGCAGTGGCGCAATCTTCACTGCAACCTCTGCCTCCCTAGTAGCTGGGACTACGGGCGCATGGCACTACACCTGGCTAATTTTTGTGTTTTGGTAGAGATGGGTTTTTGGCATGTTGGCCAGGCTTGGTCTTGAACTCCTGGCCTCAACTGATCCGTCTGCCTCGGCCTCCCCAAGTGCTGGGATTACAGGCATGAGCCACTGCACCCAGCCCTAAAACTTATTTCTAAAGGACTAAATTTTCACATAATAAATTTTCCTATTATATCTGTACCTCATTTAACACTGTCTTCGGAAGTGTTTATTAACATCTAACATTTTACTGATAAATTAAGAAGGCATCTGAAGCTTAATCAGATTTACAAGGTTAAGAGTATATGCTCTACCAAATACTGGGCTATAATAATTTATTATAATGAACCTCCAGAGGGTTCAGATAAATTCATGGATTCCTTGTGATATGAATTAAAACATGTGCAAAGCCGGGCATGGTGGTGCTTGCCTGTAATCCTAGAAATTCAGGAGGCGAAGGCAGGAAGATTGCTTGAAGCCAGGAGTTAGAGGCTGCAATGAGTTATGATCATGCCATTTCACTCCAGCCTGAGCAACAGAGCAAGACCCCTGTCTTGCTAAGATAATAATAATAATAATAATAAAATAAGAGGTTTGCAAAGTGTATCTTCCTGCCAGGCACGGTGACTCACGCCTGTAATCCCAACACTTTGGGAGGCTGAGGTGGGCGGATTACTTGAAGCCAGGAGTTTGAGACCAGCCTGGCCAACATGGTGAAACACCACTGTCTCTACAAAAAACTCAAAAATTAGCTAGGCATAATGGCACATGCCTGTAATCCCAGCTACTTAGGAGGCTGAGTCAGGAGAATCGCTTGAACCGGGAGGCGGAGGTTGCAGTAAGCCAAGATTGCACCACTGTACTTTAGTCTGGGCAACACAGCGAGACTCTGCCTCAGGAAAAAATAAAAAAAATTTAAAAACCCAGAAAGTGTATCCTTAATCAAGCCTAGAAGGTAACATCCACCCTTTCCTATATAGGACATATCCTTGTGTACCAATGACAACGTCTCTCCAGCTGGAGAGTTCTTAACAGCTGTACTTCGACAAACCAGTAAGGTGCATCACAAGTAACTTGTTACTGATTAACATTAAATGTATTTATTTAAAACTATGAATAATTTGTTTTCTAAATTAAAACTGTTTTAAGTTTCCAGAAGAGTACTCTTTTTATTGTATTTGAGACAGAGTCTCACTCTGTTGCCTAGGCTAGAGTGCAGTAGTGCAATCACAGCTCAGTGCAGCCTCAGCCTCCTGGGTTCGAGATCTTGCCACCTTGGCCTCCAGAGTCACTGGGACCACAGGTGCACACAATTATGCCGGCTAATTTTTGTATTTTTTGTAGAGATGGGGTCTCATTATATTGCCTAGGCCAGTCTCAAACTCCTGGACTCAAGCGATCCTCCCACCTTGGCCTCCCTAAGTGTTGGGATTATGGGCATGAGCCACCACACTCGGCTTGAAGAGTACTCTCATTTATACTTCTGATAAGCTTTCTGATGGAAGAGAAAGGAATTTTTAGGCACGAAGCAGGAAATGGACAGAACCTTGGGTATACTTTCAGGGGCATGAAAAAATGTAATTATTACTTATATGTATCATAGAAGAAAAAAATAAGGTTTATAATAGTTGGTTTGGAAAACTAGAGAGAACACAGCATTTCTTATGGCTGATGGGAGAAGATGGAATTAACACCAGGTTGATATTAGTTGACAACAAATATCAGAGTGCTTGCTCTGTGCTCTAGTTAATGTGTCAGATTTCATAGAGATTTTTGGTACAAGAAAGCTTTGTGGAATATATGCATTCTATGTGTCAGGCTTAGTGCAAGGTATTATTAGAAAAAAAGACTTAAAATAGAAACTATAGCTATATTAGATCAGATTGACACTTGGGAAAGACAGCTTATAGACCCAGTTTTGCCATTAAATACAGAACTTCATGAAGTTCTGTGGCTTTTCTGGCCCTCAGCTTCTTCATCTATAAAATGGGCAGAGGTGAACCAGACAACCTCTAAGGTTCCTTTAGATTCTAAAATTTTTAAAACCTTTGAAATGTTTATTCAGGTCTTCTCTCCTTGAGGTGTTCCTGGGAGATATTCCATTTGAAACCCTGAGACAACCACACCTCAGGATCAGGGTATTTAAGAATTTTCCGCTAGGCGCGGTGGCTCACACCTGTAATCCCAGCACTTGGGGAGGCTGAGGTGGGTGACCAACGAGGTCAGGAGATCGAGACCATCCTGGCTAACATGGTGAAACCCCGCCTCTACTGAAAATACAAAAAAATTAGCTGGTGCGGGCCAGGCACGGTGGCTCAAGCCTGTAATCCCAGTACTTTGGGAGGCCAAGGCAGGTGGATCACGACATCAGGAGATTGAGACCATCTTGGCTAACACGGTGAAACCCCGTCTCTACTAAAAATACAAAAAATTGGCTGGATGTGGTGGTAGGTGCCTATAGTCCCAGCTACTCAGGAGGCTGAGGCAGGAGAATGGCGTGAACCCAGAAGGTGAAGCTTGCAGTGAGCCGAGATCACGCTACTGCACTCCAGCCTGGGCGACAGAGCAAGACTCGGTCTCACAAAAAAAAAAATTAGCTGGTGCGGTGGCGGGTGCCTATAGTCCCAGCTACTCGGGAGGCTGAGTCAGGATAATGGTGTGAACCTGGGAGGTGGAGCTTGCAGTGAGCCGAGATTGCGCCACTGCACGCCAGCCTAGGCGATAGAGCAGGACTCTGTCTTAGAAAAAAAAAAAAGGAAAAGAAAAAAAGAAGTTTCCAAAAGAAGGTATCTTTTAGGTTTTTCATCCCTATGCCCCAGTCTAGAATCTCTACACACAGAAGTGTGGACAGACTTATAGTCTAGATTGACAATGGCTAGTGATAGAGATAAGAAAGATATACTTTATTATTGCCACTGGCATCAAATTTAAAAGCTTAGGCTGGCAAGCAAGGCCTCTCATTAAACAATATTCCTTACCTCGTCTGTCCCTATCCGAAAAAGCCCTTACTTTTCAGCTGAGTTGGTCACATCCATTTTCCCCTTCCTGTCTCTGTTCTTGCTGGTCCCTCCATCTGGATGGGGAGGGAAGGAAGAATAATGCATGTCCATTATTTCCTTCAAGACCAAGCTCTATCTGTCTTTATGTTTCAACAGCCATGAACACAAAGGATTTCTAGAATTCTACACTACCATACACTTATATTCCCCTGCTTCCTCATGGAGGTTCCTCTCTTCTCCAAAATTAGACCTTAAAGACATGGTATTGAGTGGGCACTGACTGAAAGCTTATCTAGTTTATGAGTGGAATGGAATCTCAACAGATAGAAAAATTAAAGGTTCAGGCCTCTCCTACCTTTATCCTGTGTCAATCCCAAAACTCTTCTTTCTCCTCCATTATCTTTCCTGTCTATAACTCCTTATCTTCAAGCTTAATGTAAGGGCAATTCCGGGCATGAAAAGACAACACAGTTTGTACTTTTGGTTTCATATTTTTTCAGTTCATTTCAGTAAAAACATAATATATAAAAGGCATTGCCACCATTTTCCCCTCCTGGGGGTGATCCATCAAGCCAGTGTGGGCTGCTCCAGTGGTTCATAGCTCATCATGCGATATGTGCAGGGCATGGTCACAAAGATCTGCAAATGGCAAACAATTTAAAGGAAAATGCCACTCTCATATTGATATGTGCCAGTATTGAGAAAATTTCCCAGACCAAGCTGACACAAACACACACCAACCACCATTCTGCAGAATATATGCTTATAAATGATAAAACATCCCCACTGCCCTCTCACCTGTATCTCAGGGTCAAGGGGACACAAATTCTGAAAGCTGACAGAAAATGGGTAGGAACACCCCAAGTCTCTAAGCCAAGGGAAATGGAAGACAGCTCTTGAGCTAATACCAGAGGTTTCTGGGATGGGGGTGTATGGGTGAGTTAGGGAATATCAGGTTCCACAGAGCTACTAGAACAGGAGATAAAGTGGGGGCAGCTTACCTGTTCGCTTACTGCAAAGTTTGTCTTTAACATTGTCAGCCTCTCGGGAAAAGAATTCAATGAGTTCATCCTCGTATTCCTCCACAATGCTCTCACACTGCCAACCCAAGGGAGAAATGGGTGACACAGGGCAATAAAAGGCCTCTTGCCTTCACTTCCAAAGAGGAGGACAAGGATATCAGCCTAACTTTCTAATTGGTTCTCCAACAACCCCTTAATGTCCAAGAACCAGCTACTGATTCCCATAGCTCACCGCAAACTTGAGGGTGCCACTGATATCTGAGTCAATTCGGATGCCTTGTAGGTCCAGTTCATTGGATTCTCCATTCCGGCCCACTACACGTACATAGTTCTTGCGATGGGTGGAAGGATCAATCTGTTCCCCATACTCCTTCATCCGGTCACATATCTCCTCCAGCAGCTCTGTGAGGTGGGCCTCTGAGCGGGCATAAGGCACCTAGAAATGTCCTCAGCCTTGGGTCACTCTCTTCTACCTCTGTACATTAGTAATTTATATCCTTACTTTTCTTTCCAAATCTAGCTCTAACAACCTATTCTAAAAAGCTTTCCCTAATTGATTTTAATTTTTAATTAGTGTTTTTTTTTGTTTTTGTTTTTTTTTCCTGAGATGGGGTTTTGCTCTTGTTTCCCAGGCTAGAGCACAATGTTGCAATCTTGGCTCACTGCAACCTCCGCCTCCTGGGTTCAAGTGATTCTCCTGCCTCAGCCTCCTGAGTAGCTGGGATTACAGACATGCACCACTACACCCAGCTAACTTTTGTATTTTTAGTAGAGATGGGGTTTCTCCATGTTGGTCAGGCTGGTCTCAAACTCCAGACCTCAGGTGATCTGCCCGCTTCAGCATCCCAAAGTGCTGGGATTATAGATGTGAGCCACTGTGCCCGGCCTAGTGTGGTTTTTAATTAGTACAGTTTACTTGATAGTTTCAAAGTACTTTTTTTTTTTTTGAGACAGGCCTCACTGCATTGCCCAGGCTAGAATGCAGTGGTGTGATGACTAAGGCTCACTACAGCTTGAATTTCCCACGCTCAGGTGATCCTCCCACCTCAGCCTCTCACAGGTGCGCACCACCAGGCTCAGCTACTTTTTTGTATTTTTTTTTGTAGAGAGTTTTGCCATGTTGCCCAGGCTGGTCTCGAACTCCTGCACTCAAGTGATCTGCCTGCCTCAGTCTCCCAGAGTGCTGGGATTACAGGTATGACCCACTGTACTTGGCAGTAGTTTCAAATATATGATTTGATTTTACCTCATTGTACAATTCTTTTTTTTTTTTAGAGATGGAGTTTCACTTTTGTTGCCCAGGCTGGAGTGCAATGGTGCAATCTTGGCTCACTGCAACCTCCACCTCCCGGGTTCAAGTGATTTCTCCTGCCTCAGCCTCCCAAGTAATTGGGATTACAGGCATGTGCCACCACGCCCAGCTAATTTTGTATTTTTAGTAGAGACGGGGTTTCTCCATGTTGGTCAGGCTGGTCTCAAACTCCTGACTTCAGGTAATCCACCCACCTCG